ATAATTTTATTTATAATATTATAAATTTTTTTTATTGATTAATTAAAAAATAAAAAAGTTTTATTAGTAGCATATATCAAATTTAAATGAAAATATAAATATAACTATATAAAAATAATTTATATAACTTTTTTTTTAAGAAAAACCTAAGTAAAGAGGTAATATAGATTTTTGATAATACTACTGTAAAGGCTAAATCTAGAAAACAAATACCAATATTGAGAAATCATGTAGACAAAAATCTTAGATAAAAGGTACTACCAACCAAGCTATTGAAAATTTTAAATTAAAGAAAAAAAATATTGGATATTAAAACTCTAGTATATTAGAAAAAAGTTATAGGTCTTTCAGACTATCTGGATTAGAAGTTTGATACCAAAAGCAAAAATATACTATAAGTATTAGAAATATACTATAAAATGATACTAAGGTCTAGATAAATTTTGCAAAAATAAACTCTATTAACAAGAACTAAATATAGGTAGTTAATTAGCAAAAAGGCTCCTAAAACTCCAAATTAGATAATATACTTTGAAATATGTAATGGCTTAACAGATATATAAATAGGAAGATTAGAATTAGGTTAAATAGTACTTAGATATACAAAAACTTGTATAGTTATTTGTTAGATGTAATATAGAGATCAGAATATTTAATTAGATAATTTTTTAGTAAATTATAGATATGGCAACTAGTATAAAACCTGTAGATAAATTATTAAATAAATAGCCAAAAGCTATATATGAGACTAATTATATACTCACTTTGTACAAGTTATATAACTATAATTAAATTACAATAAAGACAATAGCTGTTAATAACTAATAGTCTTAGCAAAAGTAAAAAAAACTACTAATTAAATATTTTATTAAAATATATACAAAGTATATATATTAGTAATATGATCTTTACAAAAATAAATAATAAATAAACTTATTTAAAATCATCAAATAAACTGAACTTCTATTTGACTTTATTTTAATTATAACTAAAAAATTATATCTACTTATATTAGTTTTAAACTTAACTAACTCTAAATATTTAAAATTAAATTTTTACTAAATAACTATTTATTTATTTTTTTTATAATAAATACTTTTTTATTTTTACTAATGTAAGCTATTTCAAGTATAATTTTTTTTAACTTATTTATACATTAATATATATATTTTAATATATATAACACTTTTCTTAATATTGTTTATATATCTGTTAACTAAATATTTTTTAAAACTAAACTTAATCTATTATTCTTTTAACTTTAAAAATTAGTTTTTAAAATATACCATTAGCTATATAAGGTGAAGTGGGGTATTGTGACGAAGTTAAAATTTCTATTAACAAAACTTTAAATTTAACATAAAAAAAATTTTTTTTTTGTTTTAATATAAACTGCGGCTCATTATAAAACAGATTCAATATAATTTATCATAGTTTAGCAAACCAGTTTAGATGTACAGATCATTTTGTGCATGAAACACAAAAGTTGGATTTTAGGGGTAGTGGGGGTATTGTGACGAAATTGAAAAAAATTTTTTTCGCTTAATTACATATGTACGTACATACATACGACATAATATTTTTTATTTTTCAAACATTCTATTTATTCTATTTATTTCTCTAAACACTCTTTTTATTTTTCAGATTGATGCTTTTCTCTTTCTCGCTTTTTTCATTTACGCTCTTCTCTTTTTTGCTCCAAATTTCGCTGCTGTTTCATCTTTTTCTGAGCTACTAATTCTTTTTTCTGTTTAGCTTCCTCAAGTTTTTTTTCAGTTTCTTCATTTGCTTCTTTCAACTTCTGCCAACTTTTATCATTGGTGAGAAGTTGTGCAAATGGAAGTATCTTTCTTTTTTTAGGAGAGGGGCCAGATTCTTGTCGAATTTCTGAAGGAATGTCCAAAGTCTTAGCTTGCAGGGCACGAGGAAAATTATACCTGAGAACTGAACATAAGGAACTTGTTCTGAAGCTTTTATAGGTTTCTAATTCTTCTTTGGTTGCTATAAAATGAGTTTTTAGTAATTCAATCTCATTTCTAAGTGTTTCATTTTTTGTTATTAACTGGGTGAAATTTGTGCGAGTATAATAAGAGTAATTTGGCTTAGGAGTTGATTGTGAGAGTAATATAATTGGTTGTAAAGACTGACTAGATGAAGATATAATGACGGGTTGTGAAAATTGACTAGACGAAGGTACAATGATAGGTCATGAGAATTAATCAGATGAAGGTATAATGGTAGGTTGTGAAGGTTGATTAGACAAAAACATAATATTAAAACGTTCTGTTGCTAGGAAAGGGTTCAAACAGTTTGGGCTAATAGCTTTAGGGTTAAAGGGCCATATCCCTGTAGTCCTAAAGGCATTACAGATAGCTAAAAGCGTGTAAGTATCAATAAAAGCAGGACCAAAGAGTTTCACGAAGGTATGTTTTGTTACTACTATCTAGTAGTATTATGATAATTGTCATATTGTTTTCCAAACTCCTTTTTTAATTTTGCAAAAGGAATTTTGGATGGCTGTAAAATATGTGTTGTGTGAGGTGGAAATGCATAAAGAAGAATTTCATTTTGATGACAAAAATCAACATGTGAATAGCTAACATGGCTTTTGTGACTATTAAGTATTAGTAAGATTGGGCGAATTAGTAGAATTGAGTTAATAAAGTAGGTAGGTACATTTTAAAAAGGTGCTCGCACATGTACTCTGTGTCTGTAAAACCCATTACTGTTCCAGAAGGTGCACCTTGTAACAAACCAGGAATTGCGCAAGAACCTTTATAGATAATTAAAGGTGGAATGCATGATCCTGCGGCTGAGATTGTTGGAACAACTGAGATATGTTTATGAGAATTTCTATATGCAACCTTATGAACCTGGCGTGAGCCTTTTTTTGCAAGAACTTTTTCCAACTTAGGTACAAGAACAAACCCTGTTTTATCCATATTCCAAACTTGCAGCGCAGTAAGTGAGTTTTCATTAATAATTTGTTTAAGTTTATCAAAATGATCTTTAATGATAGTGGCATTGGCTCTTTGCGCACGAGCTTCGGATAATTCTTGAGAGGTATGGAATGATAGTTCAGGGTGGTCTCTTATGAAATGGGTCCACTAGTCCTGACCTGGCCCTTTATTTCCAAATGGATGTAGTCTTTTATTGTAGTCCATAATTTTTATTACACAATGATTAACTCCAGATTTAGTTAAACCAAATCCAAGCCATTGCATATTTATGCAATAGCCAATGAGCTGGTTTTTCTCATGTTTTGTTAAGATAGTAGAGGGACCATGACATTTGGGAGGACCACTATTTTTTGCTGCATGTCGAAGAGTAGCTTCAGAAAGCCCAAAATCTTTTGCTATGCTGTTGATACTTGGGCATTTGGGGTTGGCAGAGTTATTTAATTCATTAAGAGCAGAGGAAATTTTATCTTGTCAATTAATATAAGAAACTTGCAGCATGCTGAAGTAATTTCTGTAATTAAAAAAAAAAACATGATTAGTTTGATGCAAAGAAAAGTATAACTAATAATAAAATACGGGATTAATTTAATAAATAATTTAAAAAAAAAATAATAATAATTAATAATAATAAATAAAATATGTGTGATTAATTTAAAAAAAATTAATAAATAAATGAATAAATAAAATATGTTAATAAATAAGTGACACCAAGGGAAAATGGGTTTCAAACTCTTAATTGTATTTTGTATCAACATAATCTTTAATAAATTTGATGGATTGAGCCTGGCACAAAACATGATTGAAAGCCCAGAGTTCTATTTTCACTTGGCAGCACTTGAATGTAAATATGCAATTGGTAAAATGAATTTGTGAAGGCCTGGTTTAGTAATTAATCTTAATGTAGCACAACTAGTAAGTTTAAAATTATGTGCATATAAAATAAAACAGACGAATGTTGTAAAGAGACTTGATAACTGTGCAAATATAACATATACAATGTAACTAACAACATTTTTTTATAGCTTTTATTATTACATTGAATATTATATTGAAGTAATACAAGCTCTAAAAGAAGTATTAAATGCACAATAATTAAAAGCACAACAATTAAACGTGCAACAATTTTAGATATTATTTCTGAGCATTATTAAAGTTAGTAACATATTTTTTAAACTAAATAATTTAAGTTCTTTGGCATTTTATTAGCTACTCACATGCAGATGATCGAATATTTATTTTTTGTTTATATAATTTGGTATTTTATTAACAGGAAGTCAAAAAATTAATAGTTCGTCACAATACCTCTCTTCATCACAATACCCTCATTTACCTTATATATATATATATTTTGTTATACCAAAGTAGAAATTTTATTAAATAATAAAAGTAATTATATTAAAAATTTTTAAACTACATTTGTGTTACTTATTTAAGTCATCTAATATAACATTACTTCTTTATTTCTATATAATACTATTATTAATTATTTTAAATTAATTTTAAATATAGAAAGGTTAAAGGAAATCTAAGATGATAGTTTTAGCATTTAGTAAATACAGTTAGTAAATATATAGTCTAAAATTAACTAGTTTTTAATAGATATAGTTGGATTTATAGTAGGTATATTAGTAGTATTAGAATTAGATTGAGAAGATAGAGTTAAAGAATATATTTTTAAACATTAAGATTTTTTAGTTATATTGTAAGCTTTTTTTTTATTGTTGTTGAAAAATTTTATATAGTAATCATATATGTTAATAAAACCAATTTAGAAAAATATTTAATAGGACTATAAAGAAAAAGAAGTTGTTTTATGAAGTAATATTTTAATATTATCATATTGAGATATAGAAAAGAGGCTTTTGATAAAATTAAGAAAATAAGAATATAGTAAAGTATTTGTTTGTTGTAACAAGATAATATAGATTTTATTTGAAAATTCAAAAGAGATATTTAATTGTTGAGTAGTATCTAAAATTAAAGTTTAAAGAATTTGTTGAAAATTATATTTTTGTTTAAAACATGTAAAAAGATGTGATATATCTTTAGGAATTTAACAATAGACACAATTTGAAGTAGTATATAAGAATAAATATTATAAATTAAGGTTTTGCATAGTAGATAGATTGTTATTAATAATTTTAAGACAGAATGTATAGAATTTTTGATTATTATTTAGAGAATTGATAATGTTAACATTTGTTAACTATTTAATAAAGAATGAGTTTTGAAAGAATTTAAGTTATAACCAGGAAAGAAATAATTATATAGTAATTATGTTTTGTAAAAATAGTTGAAATTTAATAAGTATTATATAGCTATGCTATTTAAAATGATCAGAAAGTAATGTTATAAAGTTGAATTTAATTAAGTGTTTAGAGGTATCTTATTTAGCTAAGAGATCAGCTTAATTATGAAAAAATTATTAGAATAAGATTTAACTTTTGTAAAAGATGATTTTAAGAGATTTTGTTTGAACAAAATAGTAGACAATAAATAAAATATTTTAGTTTTTAATATATAAAAATTTATGTAAAGAAGGAAATAATTAAATGTTTTTTAGAACTGATAGATTGTTAAGATATATATTGCTTTGTGAATTTATTGGTAATATATGTAGAAGGTAAACAATTACTTCAAGTTTTGCTTAAATAAAGTCAAAATATAAAGAAATTGTACAGTTAAATTTGATTTAAGTATTATATTTAAAGATCTATTTAATACCAATTTTTGGATATAATATTTGTGTATTAAGAATTAAGGCATCTATATAGAAATGAGTATTATTTAGAAGATTTTTAGTTAATAGAAATAGATTAGTAAGTTGGTTTTGATAATGAGAAAAAAAAATATTTTTTTAAATTATTTAAATTTTTGTGTCAGGAATGTAAATAGTTGGTATTTGGAATAATATAGAGGTTGAAATTACTTGTTATTGAATATTATTAAGTATATGAATTTTATGATTATCAATATAGAATAAATAGTTGTTATATTTTTTTAATAATTTAATATAAAAAATATTAATAAAGATTTAAAATATTGGTGTAAATGATTTAGTAGGAAGTAGGAATATTAAACCAAAAGAGATATTATAAAAAGAAAAAAAATTAAATAAATTTTTTGTAAAGAGAATTTGTAAGTTATTAAAAACAAGAAACTATTTATTTAATGATAATAAGTAATAAAACTAATTGTATTAAAGAAATTAATAAAGGTAATAATATTTGATAAGTTAAAATATGGCCATATTTGAAAAATTGTATTGTTTTGAATAAGATTAAAAAGTTTAGTAAACCAAAATAAGTAGGTTCATGAGTGGATTTCTTGATAGTATATATATATATTGTTTTATAATAGGATATATAAATTATCAGCTATTGTAAGTTGTTTAATAAAAAGTATTTTATTGTTTTGAAGACTGTTAATTAAAGAATAAGAAATATTAGATGAAAGAATATCATATATTGTTTTTGTAGATGTAGGAATATTAACTTATAATAAATTTAGTGAGTTAATAAGTATAAGAAAAATATTGGAATAATTTAAGAATAAAAGTTAAAAGATAAATATAAAGTTTTTTGTTTTTAATAAAAACTTAAAAGCAATATTTGAAAAAAGAAAGATTGTTATATTTTAGTTAGCCAAATTTTAATTTTAGCTATACCAATATATTTGAGAAGAAGAGTAGTATAAAAAATGTGTTTTATTGTAGATATTGTTACTTTTTGAGTTAGATATTGAAGAGTTAGAAGTTTAAATAATAATAAATTAGTAAAAAGAATATTGGATATATTTTTTATAAGGTGAAGTATTTTTTTTGTTGTAATAAAAAGTAGATGTGAGAGTTTTTGTTGATGTATTTTTGAAATTGATAAAATTTATAAAAAATATTTTAAAAATGTTGTAGCATTATAATGAAAAAAGTAGAGATTTGTTTAGATATAAGTTTTTTAAATTTAATTAAAACAAAAAAGTTTTTAATTTTATTTTAAAGAATTTTATATGTTAGTTTAGTTGAGCCATTTCTATTAAAGTAGATACCAAGATATTGTATAGTTTCATAAAGCTTATATAAAGGTATTATTTGATATTGTAGTAGAAATTTAATATAGTAAAGTTTAGTTTGTTTTTGTTTTAAGAGATATATACTGTAGAAAGTTGGATTTAGTTGAATTAATTTCAATATTATTTAAATTGTAAAGTTTTTTAAATATCATTAAGAATACTTTGGAAAGATTCAAACCTTTTACTATACCAAACAGTGTTATTTATAAAGACTATAGGAGGTATTGTTATAGAAGATAATGAAATATTTAAAATAATATTAAAAGGTAAAGAGAAGATAATTTTAAGTAGGTAGTTGTTATATTTGTTATAGATAAAGGTAAGAATAGGATCATAGTAGATTTTCCAAAGTAAGATAAATAAGTTTTGCTTTGTTTAATTCCTGATTTAATATGAACAGGTGATATAAGACTATGTGTAGTAATAATTCTTGCTTGTTAGTTAGTATAAAGTTCAGTAATAAGTTAAATTTCATGTAAAGGAATACTAATTCTTTTACAAGTATCTTAAAGTCAAGATATATTAATTTTATCAAAAACTTTGAATATGTTTAAAATATTATCTCTGCTTCTTTGTTAAAGTGTTTATAATGTTTAATAATATTATTAAAGATTTGAATTAGAATATATATTAATAAGTTATTGGTAGTTGCAAAGTTAAGATTGGAGAAAAGATTGTTGATATTAATAATATTATCAAGTCTTTGTATAAAAAGTTTTGTAAACCATTTTTTCATAGGTTTTATAATTAAGATAGAATAAACTTAATTAAGTGTAAAATCCTATAAAGGTTTTTTTAGAATAAAAAAGATGTTAGATGTTTTCTAATCTGATATAATTTTTTGAAGTTAAAAGCATTTGTTAATAAATAGTTTGAGAAAAATTTAGTCAGAAAAGCCAATATATTTAATGTGTTCATAGTTAGTTTCAAGAGGTTCAGTAGCTTTTTGAAAAAAAGATTTTGAATTGTATTTTGTTATTAATTATTAGAGATATTAGTAAATAAGTTCTGATAGTATAGTTCAAATTCAGAATAAGGTTGGTAAAGTTTATAATATTTAGAATTAGATTGAATTTGTTGAAAAGGTTTCTTGTTATAGTATAAATATAAATAGCTTGTTTAATTTGATCTTCTTTTGTTACTAAGATGTTATAGTTTAGTAATCTGTCAATGTATATACTATTGTATTTTTCAAAGATATTTTTAAAGAATTTTTTTGGTTGTGAATAAAAAAGTTAATTATAGTCTTTAATTTTTTATTGAATTTCTTTTTGGATTGTTGTTGGTAGTAAGTGTTAAGTGCTAATTTAATTTGAGTAAATTTTTGTTTAATCATAGATTGAAGATTATCAAAAGTTTGAGATTGAATAATAAGATTGTTAGAATATTTAATATTATATTCATGAAGAAGATTATAAAGATTAAAGAATTGTAAATAATTTTTAAGATATTGTATTTGTTTGTATCTATAATAGAGTGAATGATGTTTAAGTGATTTATCTGATTTGATTTCATAAGTAGTTTTAATTTTTTTATAAGAAATGTTTTTAATAGCAGTTTTGAAAAGTGCTTTCAGTATTTTGTTCTAAACTAGATTAAGTTATTTTGATTAGTAATATTTAATATTTTAGTTTAAAATTGTTAAAGACTTTGTAATATTTAGTTTAAGTAATTTTTAAGGTTTTTTTTAAAACAATTTTTTAAAAAAAAACTTTTTTCTTATATGTTGTTTGATAGGTTTTGTTCTACTAATAGTTATAGATATATCAAGAATAATGATTTTGTAATCAGATTCAGATAAGATATTCTTAAGAATATCAGTATAGTCAATTTGAGATATGCTTAGATTTGTCTATATTTGTTAATTCTATTGTTTGAGATTAAGTAAGTAAAAGTTTAAGTTGTGAGTTAAAAGAAAGAAAACTTGATATATATCTTTAAATTAATGACTAATTAGATATTTAAGAATTTGAGATTCTGAAATAGAGATGTTTTTAGAAAAATTTTTATTCAAGCATAGATTAGAAATGCTATTAAAATTACTAAGTATTATTAGTTAATAGTTGGAGTTGTTACAAAGTTGGATAATTTGTTTTTAGATTTCAGAGCATAGTTGTTTTTTTTCTGCTGTTGAAAGATAAATTTAAAAAATATAAATAGAATTGTGTTTGAAATGTAAGTCAAGACCAATTATATAACTATTATAGTTGTATGTTCTAACTATATATTTGGAGATTCTGTTAT